CCCAGCCGGTGAAGCCGCGGCCGATGAGGTCGGTGGCGGTCCTGCGGATGGTGCTGTGCGCCGGCAGCTTGGCGCTGGGCGGCTGCAGCAGCAGGAAGGTCAGCGCTTTGCCTGCGGAGCGGGGAAAAGGCTGGGATGAGCCTCGGGAATGGCGCTGGGAAGGAGCTTTGTGCTCGGGAAGCTCCAGGCACCTTCTGAGGGAGCCGGTTGGGGAAGGGCAGGTGGAGCTCCGAGCTCAAACATCCCCCCCCCCCCCTACTGGCCCTGCTCGCAGCCGGCGCTGGTCCACGCCTTGGCTCCATGGTTTCACAGCAGCTCCCCAATATCCCATCTAAAGCTCCTTAAATCCATGCCATGGCCACTGTGCCTCTCCCACTGTCATGGCTTGCCCACATTCCTTAAGGAATTCCCGTGGAATTGGGAGAAAACGTGGGGTTAAGCTATAGCTTGGTGAGCGCGATGGCAAAGTGGGCTCCTTGGGGCTGGGCTGATGATGATTTGTAGGGAAGCAGCTCCCTTTAGAAAGCATTCCATCATTTCCATGGAATTAAAGAGCAGGATTTAATGGAATTACGCATTTAATAGGAATAAAGACAGATTGATGACCAGATTCCTATTGGCTTGCTCCTTCCTGCTCCGGCCTAAGCAGATTTGGGATGAAATACGACTTGCTGGGGCACTCTAACACAATTCCAGACGGAGAAGAAGGATGGATTGAAGCCACCTTAGTTGGGCTCGCTCCTTAAATTGGGATAAGTTGGATCTAAACCTTATTTACTGGCTCAAGAATGGATCTTGAGCCACTGCAGTGGGAGGGGAAGAAACACGAGGGGCTACGGTGGGCTTAGAGAAAGCTCTAAGGTCACTCATGGGATACTCACACGTGTGCCTTGCCAAGGAGTAGTTGGATCCACCACTGGTCAAGCCAAATCCTTCCGGAATCTGGCTGGAGCTCCGTGGCCGAGTGAGAAGCTTGGGAGGTTCTATCTCAGCTCCAAACTCTGCCCCAATGACCCCCAGCAGGACGATGGCCGTGGCTTGTTTCCTCCTCTCCTCGTAGGAGGTGGAGACCTTCTTCAGCTGGGGGAGCCCCGAGAGACAACCTGCAATGGGGAGGAAGTTCGTAGTAAGCTTATGGCTGAGTGCTGCAACAGGGTGCTCCTCAGAGACAGGGTGCACTTGGCCTGCAGATGATTCCAGGTTCCTTCTCGACCCATGGGACGAGTCCAGATACTACCTATTGCAAAGTGGTAGTTACAAACCACCCCCTGGAGCCACTGGGTCGTTCCAGTGCGAGTTGTTCACCTGATAGAAAAATCCATGGAATTCTGCATTGGCCCCAAGGCTGCTGGGTCATTTACCCAGGGAATGCTTTGGGTTGAAGGGACCTTAAAGCTCATCCAGTTCCAAGCCTGTGCCACACATCTACTACTCCAGCCCCCTGATTCCCATCCTAGTAGGAGCTATCCATAGCCATTATCCCTATATAATGGTTATCCATAGCCATTATCCCTGTATAATGGTTATCCATAGCCATTATCCCTATATAACGGTTATCCATAACCATTATCTCTGTATAACGGTTATCCATAGCCACTATCCCTATATAACAGTCATCCATAGCTATTATCCCTATATAATGGTTATCCATAGCCATTATCCCTGTATAACGGTTATCCATAGCCATTATCCCTACATAACGGTTATTCATAGCCATTATATCCCTATATAACGGTTATTCATAGCCATTATCCCTGTATAACGGTTATCCATAGCCATTATCCCTATATAACGGTTATCCATAGCTATTATCCCTACATAACGGTTATCCATAGCTATCTCCATGCATATTCCATGGAGTCTGAAGAGCGTGAGGAGGCACCACCTGACCCTGAGTAAGACTCACCAGCCCTGCAGTTCAACGAGGGGGCATTAACACACCTCTCTCGCTACTAAAGGCTCCCCCGGAGGAAGCTGCTCGCAGTTTACAACCTGGAGTAGACGACGAGCTGCACTCAGGCTGCCAAAAGGCTGAGCAAAGAGCTGGGAAGTGTTAACAAAGGGAAGAGGGGGAGGAAAGAAATCAATAGGAGCTGCCTGCTGAGGAAAAAGGATGGAAAAGGGGCTGGAACAAAGCCAAGATTGAGCTGCTCCGGGATTCCCGGCTGCAGGAATCAGCTGCCCGTCTCTAGCTGGGCTCTGTGTGTTAATGTACATCCCAGTTGCTCCGGGCTGCCCTGAGAGATGCAGCTGAATTTGGTGCCCAATCCTGCCCTGATTTATGGATTTGGATCCCCATGTGCTGGGAGCAGATGCTGGAGCAGGGAATGGCGGGATCTGGCTCAATAGGAGAGGCTGAGGAAAGAAAGGGAGAGGGAACACATGGGCTGCTTCCAGTGGGAACTGAAAGCCCCCCTCCCCTCCTGCCTTTCCTTGGAAGTTAACCCTTCATTACATCCCAAAGGATGCATCCTTCCAGTGGGACTGCAAACAGCACAATGGGAATCAGCGGGAAGCGCTGCCTCATGGAATGGTTTGGATTGGGAAAGACCCTGGGCTCATCCAGGGGCAAGTCAGGCCACCTTCCCTGCTCCAAGCCCCATCCCGGAGCCCATTGCACTCGCCAGCATCCCAGGATACCTTTTAGCTGGAATTACTATGGAATCCAAGAGGAAAAGTCCAGGCCTGCAGTGGGATGTGTGGAGGTGCTGATCCCATAGATTCCAGCACGCGGATTTCCAGGAGTTAACTCTTTGTTAAGCAGCTACAACAAGGTGGGAAATACTCTTAGTGTCTCCTTAGGAATCTGCTCCGGGATGGTCTTTATGCTGCTGCAGGGGGGGATTTCCCACCTCAAATCCCAAAAAAGCCCCTCTATCCCAAGAACCTCCACAGCCAAGAAACTAAACCCAAATCCACCCCCAAAATGCCCACATACGACAAAACCCCAACTCTCCTCCTTTACAATATCCCACCTTAAACCCTCTGGATGAGAGGGAGAATTCCACCTTTCCCTATTTTTCCTGCTTTTAATTATTCCTGGAATGCCATCAGGATATTTTCCATATAAACTGTCAGCTTGAGGCTGGGATCAGTGCTTTGGAAGGAGCTTTTCCTGCTGGATCCTTTGGCTCCAGGAGGTTTGGTGTCTCCTAACAGTGATACATGGCTCCAGTTTCCCAACAGGAGGGTTCCTCACCCCCATTCCCATTGGAAAAATTCACCTCCAAGAGGCAGAGGTGGAAAAGAGAAAGGGAAGGACAAAAGCACTGTGGATTTTGGTGGGAAAAGAGGACAATTCCAAAGGCAGGCCCTAAAATGGGGTTGATCCAAAGGCCCTCGAGCTGCTTCCTAAAGGGATAAGAAAGCTAGAAAAGGCTTTGGACAAGGGATGCAAGGACAGGATAAAGGGAATGGCTTTAGGGACACTGAGATGGGATACTGGGAAGTGGTGGGACACTGGAATGGGATGAAAGGAGAGGCTGAGGCTGCCCCATCCCTGGAATGTTCAAGGCCAGCTTGGAGCCCAACCTCATCTAGTGGCTCGATAACGTTCTTCTTGTGCTCTCACATGGGAATACCAATGGGATTTAAGGAATTTGACAGGAAATGTGCCTCTAGAGCTGCTTATGGGGCCTTTAGGGCTCAGCTTCTCCAACCAAAGCCACGTCCTGGGTTTGGCTACACCTGTAGTGAGTAGGACCAGCCCCAGAAGGTGGATTCTCCTCCTTTTAGGCCCAGGAACCCACCAAGGGAGGAGTAAAGCTCCAAGTGCACAACGACTTGGAGGAGAGCTGGTGGAGCAGCGGAGTAACCTATGCGCACAGCTCCCTCTTGTGGTGAGCGGCGTGAAGAGCTTAAGGGGTGCCACCAAGGCCTTGACTCCACAAGCAGCTGAACACGTTGGGCATCGCTAGGAACTAAGAAGTAAGAGTAGTGCTGGAGTAAACCCAGAGTAGCTTTGCCGACTGAGGAAGCCCATTTCTCCCTCAGCAGCTTCCCAGCTGTTTCCTTACACGGCGGAGCAGGAGCAGCCCCACCTCCCCCGCCCCTTGGAGCAACCTGCACCAGGTTTCCTCACGGATGCTGCTCACCCGCTGCGATGTCATCATCAATCAGGTCGTGCTCCTCCTCCTGGACCTTTGCTTCCATTCCCGAGGGATCCGGGCTGCCGCCGCCTCCCTGGGGGCCTTCTGTGCTCACTCCAGCTGCAAGAAGCACCCCCCAAATCAAAGCGGGGTTGGGGGAACACGGCCTTAAACATCAAAGGAAAGACCCTTTTCCCTTCCCCCAACATTCCCGTTTGCCAGTTGGATCGGGGGGCTTCTCCCAAGGTGTCCTCCTGCTTCCCAAGGGATGACTCACGTGAGAGGACACTGTCCATGTACTGGGGTAAGTAAGGAGCCCAGGCATCGATGGTCTCCTTCCTCCCCGCTTGCTCGATCCTCCTCAGCTCGGCGAGCAGCAGGGCCTGGGCTGCTTCTCTGACCTGCAAATCCCACAGGAACATCCCATCAACTCCAAGAGCACCGAGAAGCTTCCCGAAGGACACAGGGAAGGTGGCGCAGAGGGAACGCCAGCTTGGAAGGGACCTCGGGGAAGGAGGGGATGAGGCTGCTCTTCCAGCTGGAAAAGGGACCTTCTTCACGGGCGAGGCTGGTGGGTGAGGGGAAGGGCTGGGAAGGGCCGTCACCTCCAAGCAGCGATCCTGCCACCTTCGGGCCAGCATCTCCAGGAGAGGAGGTCGGAATTTCTCCAGGCCCAGGAGGTCGGGAAGCATCACGCAGTGCAGAGCAGCCAGCTGGCTCCATCCTGTCAGCACAGATCCCGAAAGGAATACCCATGGAAGCAGGGAAAGGTGGGGGGGAGCTTCAATGCTGGCCATGGAGAACATTGGCCACCAAGGTGGGGAGAAGGACTTGAGAAGGTGGGAGAAAGAGGGATTCTTGGTCTATCCTGCTCCTCTATCCCGCTCTTATTCCATGCTCCAAGGATGGAAGCTTGGGAATGAGACACCCTAAAAGGCCCTAAATATCCTGGCCAATTGCTTCCAAAAGCCTAAAGTGTGGTGCCAAGTTCGAGAGCAACGCACCAGTAGCATCACTCCTCGTGGTAGTGGCTGCGGGACCTGAGTAAAGCCAATGTAGTGCCCGAGCTACTACTAGAGACATGCAATAGGGTCTATGTGCTGTTGGAAAGGGTTTGTACCTGTGTTATCCTTACTTTCCCCCAACTCTGCCTTCAATGTGCTTACTCTAATCATACTACGACCCTCAATGCTGGGTACAAGCAGTCAAGGCAGAGCTGTTTCTACTTCAGATGCTTGAAAGAAGGCTTTACGTGGAGTAATCTCTATAGGTACTTACAGTAAGAGCTTCCTAAGAGTAGTAACACACTTCTGACTTAAAGAACTTACCTCCAGGGCTACAACAGGGTTATGTTTAGTGGGGGGTTGTGTCCCTTTGTGGTGGAAGAACATGGTTTGTGATGCTCTCAAACACACCCGAGACTCAACTCATCCCCACCGCAAACCCCGAGTAGTTTACATAAGGGTTAAGGGTAGACACACACCAAGGAGAACACCATTTGAAGGCCAGGCTGGAGTAACCTGCTCTATGGGAAGTGGCCCTGTTGCAAGTGGAGGAGCTCCAAGGGCTCTCCCGCCCCTGTTACACCAGTTCAGACGCGACCGTCCAAGCGGTCGCACCTACTCGTCCTCTCCCACCACCTCCTGGCCAAGGGTGGCCCAAGCCCCCTCTTTGCCACCTACCTACGTGGAGCCACAGCACTGAGCTGCAGGGTCAAAGACAAGGAGTAAAGTGAGGACAGAGTACCTTCGTTGACTAAGAAACAGCTACGTAAAGGAGGAGGAGTGTCAGAGGCCGAGGGAGCAGCTTCAGGGCTGGAGGAAACAGCAGGAGCAACTTGCACAAGAGAGGAGGAGAAAGGAAGAGAAGAGAAACAAAGAGGTAAGTGAGGAGAGCACCTTTGGAACCACTGGAGAATGATGTGTACATACTCCATGGTGTAAAGCCAGCAGCAACTCCAGAAGTTGATGCTCAAGCTGGTTACTCAAACACCCTCCACCACGTTTACTCCTTGGTGCGAAGGTGATGGGAAAGCAGCTCTGAACATTGAACCTCTTGTATGGACCTTATGGCATAGACCTGCTCCTACCATCTACCAAGTGAGTAAATCCTTCCTCCTCCTCCAGCTCTCTATTCCCAGCAATACCCAAGTATTAACCTGTGTAGTGTATTAAGCTGTGTAGTCTAAGTATTAAGCTGTGTAAGTATTTACCTGTGTAGTGTTAGTATTAAGCTGTGCAGTAAGTATTAACCTGTGTAGTGTTAGTATTAAGCTGTGTAGTAAGTATTAACCTGTGTAGTGTCAGTATTAACCTGTGTAGTGTCAGTATTAAGCTGTGTAGTGTAAGTATTAAGCTGTGTAAGTATTAAGCTGTGTAAGTACTAAGCTGTGTAAGTACTAAGCTGTGTAGTGTAAGTATTAAGCTGTGTAAGTATTAAGCTGTGTAGTGTAAGTATTAAGCTGTGTAAGTATTAAGCTGTGTAAGTACTAAGCTGTGTAAGTATTAAGCTGTGTAGTGTAAGTATTAAGCTGTGTAAGTATTAAGCTGTGTAAGTACTAAGCTGTGTAAGTATTAAGCTGTGTAGTGTAAGTATTAAGCTGTGTAAGTATTAAGCTGTGTATTGTAAGTATTAAGCTGTGTAGTTACAGCCTCCAAACCTCCAAGAGGAGGGGAAATCCCTCTTTGAGCATCACAGAGCTTCTTCCTCCCCTTTTCCTCTCTTGCTACTCAAGGGCTAAGGTGAGTAGCAAGAAGTGGAAGGCTCTTGGATATCAAACGTGATATCAAACGTGATATCAAACACGTTTTACCTTGCTTGATCTGTCCCTGGGCTGCTGGAGTTGCACCTGCAGAGGGAGCTTTTCCTCTCGAGCTCTCAGGAGGGCCTGGTCTGGGGGGCCTGAGGAGCGAAGACACATGGAAAAGGAGAAGGAAAAGCAGGATAAAGAAGGGAAAAGCACCACAAAGCTGCTCATTTCAGGTGCAATTCCCAGGAAAGCTTCCTCCGGGGCAGGGAAAAGCTCATCTTTAAGCTACTCCTTCCAGGAGGCCTTGGAATGGGCTCATCTTAAGCTCTTTTCCCACCCGAAGCATTCCATGATTCCACGGCACTGGAATGAGGCTACCAAGGGTCTCCCCAATGAGCCAGGCTCATGTACGGGCACAACTGCACGTCCTCCTCGGCTCCTCAAGGGAGTTACTCCAAGTTGCAAGCGGGTTCTCGCCTTACCTGCTGGGCCCTTTCTTCATGTGTTCCCCGATGAAGGTGGCGTTGGTCATACTCATGAGGGTGTTGGCCAAGGAGATGACAGAGAGGAGATGTTGGGTGGTCACAGCTCTGGACACCCCATAAGTCCCCTTGCCAAGTCCTTCCGGAAGGGACATCTTCGTCCCTGCGTCCAGGCCACCAGAGGAGGCTTTGCCAAGGACTTGGTTGTAACCCGGCAGCATGAGGGACATGTGGCCACCTCTGGAGAGGAGGCCAAAGGACACGGAGCAGTGTGGCTTCAGCATCCCCAGGCGATGAAGGCAAAGGTCATCCAGGACCGAGTTGAGGCCCCAGGCATGGAGGCAGGACATGAAGAGCTTTGCTGTGTCCATGGTTAGGTTGTACTCCAGGAGAGTTAAGGGCTTGGACTTGCTCGAGCGATACTCGGGGTCACCGTCTTCTCTCCTCTGCTTCAAGTAGTCATCCTCGTCATCTTCCTCGTCAAGAAGATGCTCTTTGATGTTCTCCTTGATGGTTTCCTTCACCTGCTGGAAGAGGACAGCAGCTCTTTTCCCAGCCAGAAAGGAAGCTCCTTTGTCCGAGGTACCAGAGGTCTTCTGGAGGTTCTCTGGAGAAACCAAGGTGGGGTTGGGTCTGGAGGCCTCCTCGGTCAGGAGCTGGATGATGAGGGCTTCCACATCGAAGAAGAGCACGTGGATGTCTGGATCTGTCACGTTGGTCTTTATGGCTTGGACCATCAAGGAGTTGTGGGAGTATTTGGGTAAATTGCCCTGGAAAAGAAGGAAAACCGTTTGGAATCTGCTCCTCACCAGCAGGTCATGGAAGGGACCTGAGAGCTCAGCTAGTTCCAGCAGGGACACCAGGTGGCTATAACCTGGCCTTGGACAGTCCAGGGATGGGGCAGCTCCAGCTTCTCCTTTCGACCCGTCCCAGTGTCCCACCACCCGCACAGGGAGGAGCTGAGATGAGCCTTAAGGTGAAGAACAGGAGCTTTAAGGTGAAGAACATGAGTTCAGAATGAAGAACATGAGCTTTAAGATGAAGAACATGAGCTTAGGCTGAAGAATATGAGCTTTAAGATGAAGAACATGAGCTTAGGAGGAAGAACATGAGCTTAAGAGGAAGAACATGAGCTTAGGAGGAAGAACATGAGCTTTAAGATGACGAATATGAGTTTAAGAGGAAAAACATGAGCTTAGGAGGAAGAACATGAGTTTAGGAGGAAGAACATGAGCTTTAAGATGACGAATATGAGTTTAGGAGGAAGAACACGAGTTTAGGAGGAAGGACATGAGCTTAGGAGGAAGGACATGGGCTTTAAGCTGAGCTTTAAGGTCCCCTCCAACCCAACCATTCCCTGCCTCCACACAAGCAGAACCCAAGTGCAACGTGGGCTTCAGATGGAACTCCAGATGCCACCCCCCCCCAGGAACCTGGCTGCTGCTGCTGCTGCAGACCGCTCCCAAGGTGGTTTAGATCCTCCAAGACTCCTCTAGCTGGAAGCCACCTCACCTTCTCCGAGGCTTCCGAAGCCAGGAGGTTGGTGGCCAGAGTCTGGAGCTTCTGGTGGGCCACGTTCTTCAGAGCAGCCAAGCTCCTCCTGGTCATGGCCTGCTTGAGGTTGACAGCAGGATGGCTCAGGGCGTCCACGGCTGCTGGCACGGCCTCGTCACAGGCAGACAGGATCTCCACCGCTGTTATGCCCATCACGCATCTGTCCAGAGCACCTGGGGGGAGGTCGAAGAGGAGGAGAAGCCAAAAGCACATGGAAAAGCTAATTCCCAATGGACTGGGACACCTGCTGCTAGCCCAGGTCACCGCAGGCTCTGGCCAACGTGGATGGGGCAGCTGAAGCTTCAAGCCATTGCGGGGTCCCACCACCCTCATGGCCTGGAGCCTTCTCCAGCATCTCCATGGGCTCGTCTGGACCTGCTCCAACAGCTTCACGTGGGACCACCTCTAAGTCCACACCTCAATGTACACCTGAAGGTGCTGTTCCAGCAGCTCCTTCCAGCTCCTCCTTACCTGTGTCCATCTGCCAGACGTAGACGGACCCATCCGAACATCCCACCACCAGGTAGTCATCAGAAGGCCTCCACTTGATGACTTGGATAGGGAAAAGGTGCCTCGAGGCCAACATGATGCACTTCTTCTCCCTCAGGCTCAGAAGCCCAACGGAGTGGTCACTGGCCACCGAGCAGATGCAGTGTTGGACCCTGGCCTGGGAGAAGAAGGAGGAAGAAGAAGAAGTCTTTAAGTGGCCTGCACAGAGGTGGCACTTCCCCGCTGGCTTCTCCAGCACCCAAAGGCGGTGGGTGAAGAACCTGCTCGAGAACCCAAACCCACGGCAACGTACGGCCAGAGGTCACTTGAGCTCTCTTGAATCCAACCTCGTGCTCCCCATGAGGCTTGGCCCTTCCAGCTCATCTCCTCCCTCCAAAGCCCCTGGGATGGGACAGCCACAACCCTCATTGCCCAACCCCTTCCTTTGGGAAGAACTTCCTCCTTTGGAGTTCTACCAGAGCCTCCCGGCATTCCACAAGGATCCAGAGAGCTCCAAGGAAGGCGGGAGAAGCGACGGAGAAGGGCTCGAGAACCCGCTTACGCTGCAGTTCTCCGGGGGCACCAGCAGCTGGGTGATGTCCCCGCCGTGGACGCAGAAGAGGTGCTTCATGTCCCCGGAGAAGATGTCCCACACGATGACGGAGAAGTCCAGGGCCCCTGAGATCAGGTACCTCTGGTCATAGCGAGCAGAGACCTGATGGGGGTACAGCAAGCAGGTGACCTTGTTGCGGTGGCCTCGCAGGGTCCGGTGAGGTGGCCAACCTGGGAGAAGAGGGGTGGAAGGAAGGGGAAAGAAAGGGAGAAGAGGTGAGGTCTGAGAACTTCCCTGCAGCCCAAGCCCCATCTGCTCCCGAAACACCTCTTGGAATGAAGCCCAACTCATCCCGAGTTGTCCCAGAGCATTCCCTAATGGTTATAAGGAGGGTGGCGAGGTGGGATGGACCTGTTTGTGATGGCTCCTTCTGCTTCCTGGAGCCACATCTAAAGGGGGTTGGCTTTGCAAGCCCAGAGCTTCCGGCCAACATCTCCTCGCTGGCTGGATAAAGCCATTCCCCCTTGTCCCAACCTGACATTC